TCCCGAATGTGCAATTTCCCAAGCGGCAACTTCCCAATTCCGTCCCCAGCCTGTTCTAGTCTTGGCACTCGACCCTCTAGTCCATTCTAGCCGCAGCGCTCGGTCCCCTTTGCCGCCTGCGGTGCCTCAGAGAGCCTAACGATAACCTTAGGGAAGTTGCCACTTGGGAAAATGTCATTAGGGATGTCGCCCTTGGAAAGTACCTAACACTGTTTAAAACATGACCATAGATAAAACATGACAGATTCTTGACAAACCTCTTAAAAGAAAAATGCATTTGTTCCTTGCACGTCTCATATAACCACAAATAATGTTATACTCTATTCTATACTTTATACTCATATTATAATTTAGTGTTCAGGGGTAACCAGAAAGAATGAGACTGTAAAGATGATCTGAAACTCTTTAAATTATATAAATACAAAACATGAATGTATAAGAGTGTATTTTATGATTTCTTCAAGAAACAATTTTACATAAATGCAGGAAACCATGAATCTAAGTAAACAGTCAAAATAAATTCTGTATCACGGTCGTCTCTGAAGTCTCATATTTTTTGGGTAACCCTGTATAATGTGCACTGTGTATATGGTGTTCGTACACTGCACCGGATATTTGCAATAATAAAATATGATTCCTTTGATTACAGATAATCTTCAACACAGGGTACAGCATGGATTTTCGTTTATTTCTCTTTTTATGTAACCCACACCTTTTCCCTGCCTTGGCATGAAACTGTGGTTTCAGATTTGGCTTTTAAATGAAATTAATTTTGTAAAAAAGTAGATAATGCACGATATCAATGGAAATTTAACATCTCATGTGAAAACACTTTGTTGTAAACAGAAAGACAAATAGCCCCCCCCCCCTCAGCCATCACCTGGTGGGAATTTCTTGACAGAACAAAGTTATCAATGAGCAAGGTTCTTTGTGATAAAGTTTATTTTGATAAGTTGTGTTGGCTTTAACGATATTTATATAGTTAAATGAATTAAGGAATCCTTAAAGGGCATATCCAATTCACAACTTATACTACTCTTCTTAGCTAAACCGATGGAGTTATCCCTCTTTTTCTATCTTAAAATTTATTCGTTTCAATCACGGTTACTAAATTAATTAACCTAATTTAACATTTTTTCATATAAAAAAACCCTCATTTTTCTCCATAAAAGGTTTAAAGGGTACCGTTGTGAATCGGAAAGGGCACATAAAAATCGAAGTTTACTTGAAATTACGTCCACAGTCCCTTTAAAGAGTTGGGATATAAGAGAAGGAAGGAATAGAAATGCTTCAAAAGGATGATTTGACAATTGAAAAACTAAAAATGCAGGATTGTAAGATTTTGTTCCTGTCTCTCTAATTCATCCGTAGATTTCAAGAGAATTCACAAGTTTCAACAATCATTGGACATTTTACTCAAATACTGGGTTTCAGAATTCCCTAGATGGTCACATGGTCACCTACAGGGATCAAGAGGGTAAGGAAGTGGTTTAATGGGTATTTTAGAAATAACATATTTCCGGCACACCAATCCAAAGGTTGCTAGCTCTCACGTGAAAAACGATGAGAAATTTGCCATTTGAAAATCTGAAATAAAAAACATGTGCTTTATAGTTCTAGCATGTACATGTTTAGGGCTACACTAAAGTGTAAGTGGGCAAGAGAAGTAAAATCAAGGGTTAAAGTGGACACAGTCTCGAAAATTGGTGCAACTTTGCTGAGCAGCCTGGATCTATATTTGTAATCCAAATAAAGGATTTCAGGGGGTCGGGAAATTGAAAGTATATCTATAGTTTTGAAGAAAAAATTCCACCAAAAATATTTATAAAGTTTTGGCTGAACTAAACTCATCTATTTTTGTTGATAAATAGATGGGAAGGGTTGGATGGCAGGGTTAACCCAGGAACAACTTTAAGATTAACCAAAATGTATTTTGGTTAATCTTAAAGTTATTTAAAACATCCTGAAACTATAAACTTGATAATTCATGAGTACTACACATAGAGTATATATTGATAGGTTCAGTGTACTGAGTACAGCAGGATAGCTTGGCAAAACTGTACAATTTTAGAAAAATTGGGGTTGTTTGTATACGTATTCTTAAAAACAAGTTATTTTCCAGTGCTTCCTTTGTTTACTTTCTTATTTTTTAGGATAAAAACATCTATCTATCTCTCAAATCATAATTAGTATTGATTTGTACGTCGGAAAATGCCTATTTATCTAAATATACACCAAAATCGAAGTTTAAAGCAAACCCCTGCAGACCTGCAGTATATGTACTGTATGAACCCCACTTCTTCTTGAAATCGAGGTTTCGTTAGTTGAGCTGACTGAGTTTCTATCTTTGTCTATGGTAAACACTTGACTGCAATAACAATTATAAAAATGTGTGGTTGATAAAAACAGTGGCGTACATAGGGGGGGGGCAGTAGTCCTCTTGCCCCCCCCTGGGAGTTCCAGGGGGGGGGGCCCTGCCCCCCCCTGGAAAATACAAAATTAAAAGGAAACAAATTTAAAAAGTAACACCTGACAATGACAAAGACTAAGGATTTGTCTATATTCACTGTTAACACAAAATTTTAAGATACTTTAAACTAAAACTTTTGCAAAAACAAGACTTCGACATATTAGATGCTTATAACATGATGGAAGATGTAATAAAGGTATTCTATTTTCTATTTTTCTATTTTTTCTTACAGTCAATTTATAAAGGAATTGAGTCTTTGGCACAAACTCAAATATGTAAACCTTTGGAATCTGATGTTGTAAACCTTTGATATTTCAAATTCAGAATATTTGATCTAACAGAATTCATAGTTTGAAATATCTAAGGTCTACAACCATAGATAAAGATAGATTGCTCATAAGACGACATTTTTCATCTTGAAAGATATAAATGAGATGTTTTAAAGATATTCCTATTATATAGATTAACTAGGTCGGTTGTGAACATTGGCTGTTGTTAT